AACAGCGCACCGTGTATTTATTCCAAAGTCGTTAGAAACCTAGACTCTTGTCTCACACACAAACCTGGCGTGGCAGATCATCTCCAGAGCTGACCACCAGCAATTTCTGCCACTTCTGGGTATGTGTTCTCCTTCCAATAAGAGATTTTTCCTTCTTGAGTGTGGGCTGGACTTTTCACTTGTTTTGACTAATCAAACGTGGCAGAAGTAATATTCTGGCAGCTTCCACCTCGGCTGTTGGAAACCAGGAGAAATGTTTCCAGACCAGAAGCTTGAGCTACTGTGAATGGTGAGGGCCGCGTAAGAGAGACCACGGCAGGGGAGGACCAAGAAGCTGCAGCCTCTAGCACCCAAATGCCAGCCCTCTCCTGGCTGAGTGCAGCCTCAGTGGTGACCCCTGCTGATGCCGCGGGAAGCCAAAGAAATGCAGCTGAGTCCTGCCAACCTCAGGAATTGTGCGAAAGACTGCTGTAAGCCATTCATTGTTTTGGCATGGTTTGATACACAGCAGTGGGTAAATGCAGGAAGAGAACTTCTGAAATGAAAACTGGAATTTGGTTTGACCTCAGAGGTTCCATCAGCGGATTGCTTGTGATTAGGAACCAGATGTGCCTGGCGAGGGCCACTGCCCTGTGTAACTCCAGGGGGCGCTATTCCTATTCCGTACATTGGCACCCTGGGAGCCTGCGAGCCAGTTCAAGCCCTGTTTGGCCATTCGGCTTGTCTCGCTGTCGGTCAAATTGCTCCTGAAGTCCCAGCCTGGCCTGGGAATCTTAGCTGCCTCCTTACAGAAGTGGATCAGGAAAAGGGAAGAATATCCTGCTCTTAAGACCTGGCTTGTCACTTCCCTGCTCATCCATGGGGTTTGGATTAAGGTCACAGATCCTGGCTTTCAAGTCTGTCCATAAACTGACTCAGCCTACATAGCTTTCATCATTCCCCAACACCTAGTCTCAAAGTGCAACTGGATTAGCCTCCCCTTTCCTGTTTTTACTGGGAAATCCACCACTTCAACAGCCCCCCCCCCCCCATGTATTGCAATGAACACAATAGTAGGGGTAAAAAGGAGACTGTAGTCAGAAACTTGGGAGACAGTTAAAAAGTATCAGTATGTTTCTTGACATCAGAGCTTCTCAAAACCTCCTCCCTCTGGGGGTTTTCCCAGAGGGAAGACACAGTAACATTTCCTAAAGACACAGTAACATTTCCTAAAATCTCTGGAAGGAGCCTCCTGAGACACTGGTACACTGGAGGCATATATTTTGGGTTTCTTTCTTACCAGTTGAAATGGCCCAGCTAAAAAGGAATTCCTTGTGAAGTCTTAATTCTGCCCAGGACTTGCCTGTATGATTATGGTGTAGACCAAGTAAGGTAGGGAGGGGATGGGTGTTTGGAGTGAAGGCACCTTGGCTCAAATCCTGGCTTTGCCATTTCCTGTGTAACTTCGAGCACATGGCTTATCCTCGTCTGCAGAGTGAGGACAGTAATTGTGAAGGGAAATTTGTCTTGCACGATGCCTGATTTGTACACCAATACTCATTTGTACAAAAAAGATGTGGACCTTGCATTCTGGAGGAGACCAATCATATGATTTCTAATTGTGATCAGTGCCATGAAGGCAAAAGGACAAGGTGTGTGAGCAGAGCTAGAAGGAGCCCTGTCTGAGAAAGGGCCTTTATCCTGGGGCCTGAACAATGAGGAATTAGTCCAAGGAGGAGTGGAGGGATGGGGGCAGCACTCAGACACTGGGGAGTGCCTAGCTATAGACCCCAGTGTAAGCAGCCCCTTGCTGTGTGTGAGGGCCTGCGAGAAAGCCTGGCTGGAGGGGGGAAGAACCTGAGAACACAGGGCCTTGGAGGCCTTCACGAGACTGTCAGGTTTATCCCAAGAAGCTGAACCGTGGCCAGCAGGGGATGGCATGACCTGATTTCTCATTTTAAGAGGTCATGCTCCTGGTGGAGAATGGATGGGGGTCAGGTCTGGCAGTAAGATGGGAAGCAAGGAAGTCTCTTGGGGCTGCCTCCCCCCGGGCAACAGCAGACTATGGTTTGTATTAACAGTGGTAGTGGAGGGGGAAGGAATTTGAGATGGATTTTGGAGATACCAAGAACTAGGGGATATATATTCCATGTGGCGAGCAGAGAGCGGAGGGCAATTCCCGGCAGCAGGGTACACAGAGGCGCCATTAGTGGGGATGCCCACCACAGGGAGGAGTGGCTTTGGGGCCGTAGGTGAAGGGCTCAGCATTGGGACACGGTGAGTGTGAGAACTACAGGATACGCATTCCATAAGCAGTAGCTGCTATTACTTATTTCGGGTACTGCATTAAGTACGGCTCTCTAGAGACAGAGACTCCCCAAGGACAGGACGTATGAGTCTTTGGTCAAACACTCTCCAAGGACCTCTTAGGGGCCAAGCACCAGCGCTGGCACTGGGATAAAGATAAATGGGCTGGGTCCGTGTACTTGAGAGAAACTGTGAATCAGAACATCGTGTGTTAAGTTGTCACACAGTAACGTGCAAGGGGCTTGGGGACCTCAGAGGAGGGAGTGAATGGGTAGTTCCCGGCTGGGGAAGGTGTTACAGCGACATTGACCTTGGAGTAAGAATTGCCCAGAATGGCATGTGCAGAAACCAGAAGCTTGAGGGAACGTGGTGGGTTTGAGCAAGGAGAGCAGGGCGTGGGCTTTGCACATCTCAACTCCCCTGTAAGGTCATTAGGTCTTCAAGGACAAACATGTCTCCTACTTCTTCAATCCTCCCAGTGCCATCTGAGTTCCTGACAAAGTGCCCGCACAGAGAGGAAACTCATCAAATTTTTGGTGATCCCCATTTCTCTTAAATGTCTCAAACTTAAAACACAAGAAGAAAATCTTCAATCTTCGTGGATCCTTCAAGTTTGGCTATGACAGTGAACCGCCTCTTGGGCCCACAGCACCGGGTGGGGTGAGTTGGGGAAGGCACCGGGGGTGCCCCGGGAGTGAGGGGTTTGGGAATGGATGGAATAAGTGCATTCACTGGGGGATTCTGCTGTGGTGTCTGGAGAGGGCGCACACCACCCCCCACCCCTGGGCGGCTCACTGGCCCTGGGTAAGGTGGGAGAACTGGGAGGCCTGAGGTTTATTCAGGGCTCACGACAAACTGTCTTAACATAGAGGCTATTTCATTACAGGGCAAACAGAGGGATCTTGCTGGCTGCGCGGACACCTGGCCACTCCTTAGGGGTCTCTGCTGTTGCTAAAAGGTTCCCCGGCGCCCAGGTGAAGGGCCTGCCCTGTCCTCCAGGGCCACTTCCCCTCCTTCTAAAACAGCCTGGCCACCCCACTCCCAAAGGATCAGACGTCCCCCCAAAAAACGTCTAACCCGTTTCCTTCTTTGTGGAAAGAGGGACACACAGGCTAAATGTTATGTAGCCTAGCGAATTCACGGATTGTCCTCTACTGCTGAACCCACCCCACTCCCAGCTCATTCCTTTACGCAGCCCTCCGCGCTCACGACCAGCTTTGCCCTCCACGATTTCATTCTGGCTGAGGTGCCTCTCTCTAAGCACCCTGGGGTCCTCTGCATCCTGCCCCATTAACCACAGGGGCAGCGACATTGGTCTCCCCATCAGACGGGGGGCTCCCTGAGGGCAGGAAGTGCTTCACGCCCCTGGAGCTCTTCCCAGTGCTCAGAGCATGACTAACTGCCTGTGTCCCAAAAGCAAAGCAGTGAGTTGAAGAGCCGCTTTATGCATGAGAATTGATGAAGGACCTGGGACCCAATTGTCCAGGTCGGAAGACAACAGGGATTTGGGGCGTTGAGATGATGATTCTGAGTAGGGAGAAGGTGTCTGCTTTCAGGTGGGGGCTGTCCTCCTCACCTGTGTCCCAAGCCTGTTTTCCCACCCAAGGGTGGGGACCAGGGCTGTTTACTATTTCCCTTTGCAGTTCTGGAAAACTGCTCCCCCCCCCCCCCCCCCCCCCGCCCCGGGCCTGCTGCGCCGTAGGCCGCTAGGCAGGGCGTAGCACCCAGACCGATCCTGCCCTTTGCCCTGTACCAGAGAAGAAGTTATTCGCTGTTTCTCCGTTTATTGAGCCCCTACGGTGTTCCAGGCACAGGAGACATAGAAGTGGGTGACAGCCCCGCTTAGCAGTGAGATGGGGGCTGAGCACTGAGGGAGGGTAGGGTCACTTCAGCTCACAACTGCAACAACAGTGCATTTGTGCATCACCATTGCTTGGGACCGAGAGTCCTAGAAGGAAGCACAATGAGTTCAGTGAGGCCGGGTGGGACACACCAGTGTTGGGTGCGGGAGACACACACACAAGAGAGTTGGCCTGGCCGGCTGTCAGCTGTATCATCCAGGGAAGGAGATGGGGGTTCCGTCCTCCAGGAAGTGTGCGGTGAGGGTGCTTACTCTGACCCATGCTCCTCCTCCTCTCTGCCTGGGAAGAGTTCTGTACGTGACAGTGGTTTCAGGAGTCTTGTCTGTCTCCTCCACCCTTGGGCTTCCCTAGTCACTCCTCCCTGGGCCCTCCATTTCCCTAACTCGGGCTGTAGATATTTGGGGCAAATTACAAGTTAATCTGCCATATCTTCCAGTTCTCAATTGGAAGCGCTTCCAGAGCATGGACGAGCCAGCCTTCAGCTATTTTCTCTAAAAGGAGGGAAGTGGCAATCCAGTATTTGCAAGCCCAAAGGCCCTCCTAGAGACGCGAAAGGTGCCGTGGACTAGGTAACAGGAGACCCAGCTTTAGCCCCGGCTGTCTCAGCTCACTGTGTGACTTCAGGCAAGCTGCTTTCCATCCCTGAAAAATGGGATTCCTGCCCACACTCTGTGTGGAGGGACATTCATTTCCATTTGGGTACTGAGGCGACTTCCATGGCCCTTAGAATGGAATGGCTCAGACACTTAGAAAAGAATCCTGGGGGGAAAGAGGGGACTTGCCATCTTTATTCCCAAGTGCTTATATTGGAAGGAGCAGGTGTTCGATCAGGGAAGCTAGAAAGGCATCCTGCTAGAGGATGCACTCCGGGGCAAGAGGTCCGGCATTAGCGAAGGCCGACTGGAGCTCGGTATCCCTGACCCCCTCCCGTGCCGCTTGCGTGAGCTTCTGATCTTTCCCCCGCCTGCGTCGCTTATCTACCTTCATGCCTGTTTGTTCATTTATTGAGTGTACCCTTGGGCCCGTTGGGGTTGTGGCCCCTGCCAGAAGGTGTTAGCTGATAACTGCTTAGGGTGCGACCCCTCCCGGAGTGATTCACACTTACGATTGCTGAGGAAAGGAAGTATCTCAAGACTAAGGCATGACTTTCTAACAATCATTGATCACTGTGGGAATAAGGGGGATGTTCCAGGGTCTGAAAAAACACACATGATTCTCTGTGGCTTCAGCTGGTCCTGAGAAGGCGGGGTGTAGAGTGTGCTTGGGTGTGCTGGGGGTGGAGAGGGTACAGCTTCCGGACTCTGGCTGTCTCAAGCCTGGATCATCAAAGGGATGATCTACGCCTCAGCTGCTCTCTTCTATGGGACATCTGCCCAGTGGTTTGTGGGCAGCCTGCTCCGTCTGTCCGTCTGCCTGGCCCCCACCATGGAGACTGGCAGCAAGGCATCTGGTCGCTTTCTCATGATGCCCTTGCAATCCACCAGAGGCTCTCACCTACCTTCTGTAGATGGTACCGCCCTGCCCAGGAGGCCCTGCACCATTTGTCCTTGCGGATGCTCTGGTGGTGGAGCTAGAAGGGATAGAGAAGAAAGAAGGCAGCAGAGTAAGGCTGTCCTGGGACCCAAAAAGGGCAGGGCAGGGCCAGAACCAGAGCTGGGGCCTCGTAAGTGCAGTCATTCCTCAAGCATCCTGGGAGTTGAAGAGAAACCGTGGATTGGTTTGTTCATTTACTGATTCATTCATTGATTCCCACCTCTCTCTCCTTCATTCTCCCTCCCTTTGCCCTCCCTCGCACAGATACCTAGTAGGTACCTCTCATAGACAGAAACCGCTCGTGTTGTGGGTACAGAGGAGGTGGCCCACCTGCTGCTGCCCGTGGTGGGAGGGGTTCTGCTCTGGGGAAACCAGCCACGTGACCCGGCAGGGCAGGGCAGGGCAGGGTGCCAAGGACAGCATGGCGCCCAGGCCACAGGGACCAGCTCCATCTGGGTAGGGCAGGCAGTCGGGGAAGGAGAGGTGGGGCCTGGAGTCAAGTCAGTGAGAGCAGCCCCAGAGGATGTGGTGAGGCGTCAGAGCATTGGACTTGATCCTGAGAGAGTACTGAGGGTGTGGTGGGTAAGGGCTGGTTGGTTTTCTGGGGTTTTTTTGGGGTTTTTTTTTTCTGCCCTTTTTACCAAGGATTTTGGGCAGGGTACTGGCTGCTCGTATTTGCACTTTTCAGATCCTTCTAGGTGCAGTGTGGGGAATGGATTGGTTAGTTTTTTCCAATCCCAGGCTTTAGGCCCAAAGTAATTTTGAACCTTTAGCAGAACTAGATTCATCCGGTCTCCTCCTTATCCCTGCAACTACTCCCCCCACGTGCCCAGACCACCCTTCTGAGGAGACAACCAGGAAACCTAGCGTGTGGCCAAACCGTGCTGGCCCCACCCCCTCTAAGGCCAGCCTGGCGTGCCCCCGGCCAGAGCATCTCCCCCACCTCCCTGACTTGTTAGCGGCCAGGCCAACTCAGCCCTCCCCAGGGAGCGTGCTGAGGGGAAGGTGTGGACAAGGCTTTACCTGTTCTTCTGTCTGGCTGGGTAGGAGGTATTCCTGGGGGAAAAGAGAAAGAAGGAGTGAGGGCTGCACTGCTTCCCCCTGGGGTTTGGTGAGACAGGAAGGGCTCATGGCTCTTTGGGGTTCAGTGCCTTTGGTGGGTAGTCAGCAGAGTTCCAGCCCCTTCCCATTGTCCTTGTATGGCCGGGCCACTTGGCTGCTCAAGGGAGGAGGCGGTGTGGATTACTGGCAAGGGCACGGACTTAGGAGTCACTGGCGCCTGGCACCACTTGAGCATCCTTGGAAAAGTTTTTAATCTGTGTGAACCTTAGTTTTCCCGCTGGTGATAAAGGGGACGTTGTGAGATGTCATCATATGTGAGAATTCTAGGTGTTCAATAAATCTTTTTCTTCTCTCCCCATCCCCTGCTCCTCATGGGGTGTTGGATGTGGAAGAGAACTCTGAAGTGGCCCAATCCAGAGCACATTTTGTGGAGGAGAAAACAAAGGCCAGAAGTGTTTGGTCATAAGTCGGTTTTCTGTTTTTATGTGCATATGGGTTTTTTTTTTTATTACAAAAGCAGTCTTCAAGTACGTGCCCACTATAAAAAGCATCAAGTAATGAGAGGTTTGTACAGTAAAAATTAAAGTCCCTTTCACTCTCTCCCTCACTTCCACTTCCCAGCCTAGATGTAACCACTGTTTTTTTGTTTTTTTGTTTTTTTTAAGATTTTATTTATTTGACAGAGACACAGCGAAAGAGGGAACACAAGCAGGGGTGGGTGAGGGAGGGAGAAGCAGGCTTCCCTCTGAGCAGGGAGCCCGATGTGGGGCTCGATCCCAGGACCCCGGGACCATGACCTGAGCCGAAGGCAGATGCTCGACGACTGAGCCACCCAGGCGCCCCCTACTGATGGTTTTTATGTTATTTCCAATTCTTGCTATTACAAACAAGTTGGCAATAAATACTCTGATACAGATATCTCAAGGCTCATGCATCAATAGCATTTCTATTTAGTACATGTTCTGAAGTGAGACTATTGGTAAAAGGTATGCGTACTTCCAACTTTGATGGAGAATGCTAACGTGTCCTTGACAGGGTATACAAGTGCCAGTTTCCTCAGACCCTCACTGAAACCACTTAAATGTGTAGATAGATATAGAGAGATATAATGTTGACAATGAAAAGGAGAATACTTCCCTCTGTCCAGACTATTTGCTCCTTGTGCCCCTAGGACGTGACTCCCGCATTAAGAGTACCCTCAGGGAACATGGGTTCATTTTAATAATTCTATCTGAGCCAAACAGAATCGACTAGAAAGCTTGGCCCGTGGCTTGGCTCCCATCTAGAGGCTGATGCCCAACTTCACCACCTGTCTCCGGAGTCATCCCTAGTATGGATGGCAAGGGCACCAGCAGGGTGGGAGGCATTGCCCTCAGGCTTGGGGTGACTGCACCCCCACATGCCCGAGCCAGCCCCGAGTTTAACGCCTGTAGCCTGGCATAATGAACTCTCCAAAGTGTTGGGGTTTGACAGTCATTCCTATGGACACTCTATGGCACAGGTGACCCCTACCAGTCCCTGGGGACCTGGGCTTGAAGCTGGGCCTCTGCTTGGTGTCACTGAACCCGCTCAGGACCACTCCTTGCTGGACAGCATCCACCTTTGTCACTCACCTCTCAACCGCTTCCCCATCAGCCCAAAGAACTGGCTTGCTTTGCCCCTCTTCACCTTCTGGAGCTGGAAGTGAATGCCACCATCCTGGAGAAGCAGAGAGTTCATTGTTAGAGCTGCAGGGGAGGCTGAGGCTGGAGACGGGACAGGGCAGGCAGCCTGAGCAACACCAGCATCATGCCACTTGGCTCTGTGCCGGCATGCGGCCCTGGTGCATTCTCTACACAACACAGTGCCTAGACACAATCATTCATAGCTAATGTTCTGTCTACTGAGTTCCTGGCTCTGTGCTCAGCACTTTTGTGTATTAACTCATTTAATCCTCACTGAAGCCGCACCAAGTAAGAACCGGTACGGTCATCATTTTACAGCTGAAGATACCGAGGCACGGAGACATTAGTTTGCCCAAGCTCACCAGCTAGGATGTAAGAGATGGAGCCGGAACTTGAACCCAGGTCACCTGGCTCAAAGGCTCAAACACTGCAGCCAAAATCTCACTTACTCTTTGCATCCGCTGTATGAAGTGACTATGATTTATCCCCACTCTATGGATGAGGTAACTGAGACTCATGGAGGGTGAGTGACTTGTCCAAGGTCACACAGGAAGTGGCAGAGGCAGGATTTGAACCCAAGGAGTCTAACTCCAGAGCATGGGTTCTGTTCCATTTAGAAAACGTCTCCAACATGGACAGGAGCGGGCAGCTGAGGAACTCATGGTGGGCACCCCATAGGCAGGGCGGGAGTGCTTCCCTGGAACCCCCACTCTCGCCGCTGCTGTCCCTTCTTCCCCCCCAAAACTCCCCACATTGCCCCGGATCTACCCTACCCCACAGCCTGGGCCTCCCACGTGGAGCATGGCATGTGGCCTGGGGTGGAGGCCACTTCTCTGGGCAAAGACATTTTCATCCTTGAGCTGATGGGGTGAAAGTCTGGGCCAAGAGCTCTGGATTGTACTTCTCATTTTTCTATCAGGCTTTGTGATGTTGGCCAAAAAGTCGCCTCATTTTCTGGCCTTAACCTGAGCCCCCAAAGGGCTTGCTCAGCTCTGCTGAGAGGAAGAGATGCTTGCTAGTGGAGAGGGTGACAGTCATTAGACCATCTCCACATCTCTGTGTGCCCAGCACCTGGCACAGAGGCTAGAACACAGTGTGTGAGGGACACAGAAAGCTGAAGAGGGGCCCTTTCTCCGGCAGTCTGGGGAGAGGGGGGAGGACGGGGTCTCCTTTTCCAGAAAGGCTGGAGACAGGCAGCTAGAGCCCTAGAGTAACACAGGCCACCTGCCAAGAGGATGGGAGCTGGGCTTGGATCAGGGGTTGGCTCTTTGGTCCCCTGCTTCCCCAGGGGCAACACTGGAGCTCCTGGGACAAGCAGGGACCTGGCTGGGGTGCAGTGGACATCCCTCTTCTCTCACAGCTCATCTGGTCCTGACTTTCAGGACCAGGAGTGGATTGTTTTCTAAGCCCTGGACTGATTCAGTCACTTCCAGTCTGTCTCCTCCCCAGGATGTCAAGGGCGGGGGTAACTGTCTCAGGCTGGAGTCACCTAGCCTGGCCAGGAACCAGAAAAGTCTCTTCGGAGATTTGGACCCATTGCTGAAAACTCATGAAAAGCACTTTGCCTGGGTAAAAGGCAGCCTTCAAATGCAAGCTGGAGAGAATGACTACTTATGAATTAAGTAAGGTTTACCTCTCTCCCACCGTCCGCAGGGTTTCTGGACACTGGATCCCTTTGACTCAGGAAAGACTCCTCCTCCACCTGAAGCCTTCCTTATGCATTTAACCCAAATTCCTAGCTCCAGGGATGACCACAGGTGGGGAAGCCCTCAGGGCTGGGGAGGTGATTAGGTCATCCTGGCACTGCCTCGTTCCTTCTTTCCATCACCTCACTCCTTTTCTGTGAATGGTTCCTCTACTCCCAGCCCCATGTCTTGGGAAACAGAATAAGCATGAGACCCCACTGCAGGGGGGGGTGCTCGCCGGTGGGAAGCCCAGCAGCACCCGGGAAAGTGGATGATGATGTTTCTCGCGTGGCTGTGTAGAGAGCTTCCCATCACCCAGCCTGGCTTCCCTGGGCCTGGGCCAGGTCCCATGATGTTTGGCACAGACTCTGCAAAGCATGTCAAAGCGTGAGAAGACCGTTGGGGACCATCTTCCCTCTCCTCCCATTTTACAGGTGGCCAGAGAGCAGCAGTGACCTTCCCAAGGTCTCACAGAGTCTGTGGAGAAGCTGGGACTTGAACCCAGGTCGGTCAGCCCTGTGGTCTTCTCCACTGCACACGTTTCCACATTCAGACAAAGCAGGAAGGAAACCCGCCACCAATGGCAGTTCCTTCTGTGGCTCTTCCAGTGGTCCCAGGGTCCTGACCATCCCAGGACTGGGAGAACCGGGCTCAGCTTTGCCCCATCCGCCCTCCTGAAAGCCTTCACTCAGCACTGGTCCTATTTGGTCTGTTGGCCTCGCTCCCCTGTCTGATTCGGAGCTGCCCAAGGTCAGGATCTTTGTCTTCCCAATCAGATGGAGTGCGGCACCGATGCTCTGTGCCTAATTTTTATATCTCTCCCGTGACAGCATTCAGGTCAGTTTAGTCGAAGACAGTGGCCATCAAACCAAGTACTTATCAGGAAATAAGAGTTTCTTTCTTTCTTTTTTTTTTTTTTTAAAAGATTTTATTTATTTATTTGACAGAGAGACAGTGAGAGAGGGAACACAAGCTGGGGGAGTGGGAGAGGGAGAAGCAGGCTCCCCGCCAAGCAGGGAGCCTGATGCAGGCTCGATCCCAGGACCCTGGGATCATGACCTGAGCTGAAGGCAGACGCTTAACGACTGAGCCACCCAGGTGCCCCAGGAAATAAGAGTTTCTGCATGGGCGATGAAACAGTGATCCTGCCCCAAGTTGACCGACCCCCCCACCTTTTTTTAAAAGATTTTATTTATTTGACAGAGAGAGACAAAGCGAGAGAGGGAACACAAGCAGGGGGAGTGGGAGAGGGAGAAGCAGGATTCCCGCGGAGCAGGGAGCCTGATGCGGGGCTCAATCCTAGGACCCTGGGATCATGACATGAGCCAAGGGCAGATGCTTAACAACTGAGCCATCCAGGCGCCCCTGGCCAACCCCCTTGAAAGGAAATTCTGGAAAACGTCCTCTGACACATAGACACACCGAATCTGACCTCGGACAAATGTGCAGTCGTGCTTTTGAAGCTGCATAACCTTGGACTAACTGTTTGACCTTTCTGTGCCCCGGTTTCCTTATCTGTGAAATGGTGATAGTAATGGTACTTTCCCCACAAGGTTGATATGAGGATTAAACTGGTTAATATTTATGAAGTACTTAGGACAGTACCAGGAACGTAGTATATGTGAAATAAAACACAAACTCACACTCACACACACATACGCACACACACCATTGCTCCCATATACGCGTGCCCCTTTGGATGTCTGCCAGGCCAGGGGCCATGGCCTTGAACCTACCTGCAGAGTGGAGTCAGACAGCATGGCTAACAATGTACAACCTTCTGTCCAGGCAGCCGTGGAAGGGATCTCCCACCCACTCCACAGCAGACCAACCCGTGCCTCACCCCACGGTACCTCCAGGGTCAAGGTTATCCAGGACCCTGCTTCTGCTCTGAGTGCCAGTCCCTCGTCAGCTGTCACAGTGCCTGCAGACAGCCCCATCAGGAGAAGCAGGGGGAGGCAGGGCAGCATCGTGAGTACTGCTCTGTCCTGGAACCTTCTGGGGGCCCCTCGCAGCCTGAAGATGCTGTCTCCAACATGCCTGGGGCCTCTCTCTGGCTCCTTTCGGGTGTGTTTGGGCGGTGGGGGTGGGGGGAAAGCTCCACCTATTCGTTGTCCTTCCAGCTACCCTGCTTTCCCTTCTTCGGCTTATCTGGCCCCTGGGGCCACTTCCTGTGACTCCCTGCCCTCCCTCTTTGGCTGGCTGGAAAGGCCAATGATACCAGCGGAGGGACCAGACCTCTTCCACTGCCGTCCCAGCACTTGATCCCCGGGCTTAGCACTCTGATGCAACACTGGCCTCACCTTTTGGCTGCATTCCCTCGATGGCAGGTGCACAATGGGGCACTGTGTGGGGGCCTGGCGGGAAGCCCGAGGGGGCCTTGTCATCCTGGACATGGGAAGGGAGAGTGTGTGGCTCCTCCCTTCCCGGTGCTCTGCTCCCCTGTAAGAGAGGCCTCTTCTCCAGAACTCAGTGCTTGACCACTTGTCTCCCTATCACTGCGCCCCCCCTTCCCAAGGTTCCCCTCCATCTAAGGTCCCCATGTGTATACAGAAACGCCCATCTTGCCCTAAGAGAAATAACATAGCACTTAAAGGAGTAAAGCTCCTCAGAGGGAAGAATTGGGATTTACCAGAAAAATGGCCTCCTGCTCAAGTGTCATCAGCTCGAAACTACTTCCCACTGCTGTCAAAGTGATCTTTCTAGAGCCCTAACCTGACAAGTCTCTCCCAGATTACAGCCTTCCAATGTGTTCCCATGGCCCTTGGCATAATGTTCGGGCTCCCTAGCATGGCATTCAAGGCCCTTCTCCACTTAGTTCCTCCCTGTCTCCCAACAATCCATCCATCCATCCATCCATCCATCCACCCATCCATCCATCCTTCCAACTATCCATCCATCTGTCCATCTGTCAGTGTAGAACAAGGGCCCTGTGGTCAGAGACCTGAATTCCAATCCTAGCTCCACCACTAAATAGCTGTGTGACCTTGGCACATTACCTAACCCCACGAAACCTTGGAATCCTCATCTATAAAATGAGATTAACAACAGCACTTATTTCCAAAGTTGTTGGAGGATGAAATGAGATCATGCGTGTACCGCACTTAGCCCAGAGCGAGGCGGTAAATATTTCACACCGTTAACTGTTACTACTGTTACTATCATGGTCCGGATGAAGCACTGGGCCACAGAGGGTGAATAAGACGCTGAGCCTGTCATCCAACATCTCCCAGTCCAGGAGAGACCTCTGGCCGGCAGGGAAGCTATGTTCAGTTTGGAATGTGCCGGCATAGAGATGGGAGCATGAGAAGGACATGCCCCCTCCCCATCTGCCCCAAAGCCATTCCCTGGTCCCAGACACACCGCACCACCTGCTCCCAGGACCGGCTCAGACTCCTTGCCCCGTGCCCTGACCCTGGCTTGCTGCCTCTGCCTGGACCTCCTTTTCCACCTGGTGTATTCCCACCCATCCTTAAAGGGCCCACTTCATGGTCACCTCCACAGTCGAGTTTTTCTGTGCCTATTCCTGACTCCGGCAAGGAGTTGGAATTGTTTGGCCCTCTTCCTGGGCTTTCCCAATATCTCCCACTTACATCCCTTGTAGCTGAGCTCAGGGGAGGTGTGGGAGTGGCAGCCAAGAGGGAGAGTGGATGGGAAACCCAGCCCTTGCTCCGTTCACTGAGCCTCACAACCTGGTGTGAGGGTTTGCTCCCCCGGAGGAAGGAGCTTTGTTCCCTTTCTCCCAGAGGGGAGGGCTGGGCTGAGGACAGCCTTGCTGGTCTGCTGCCGTAGGCCTCAGCTATCTGAGAGTGGGGTTGTGATACAAGTGTGCTTGGTGCACAGTGGGTCCTTAACAAATGGGCAGTCACTCTGAGTCCAGGCCAGTGAAGGCAGAGAGGGAATAGGGCAAGCATGGAGGTTTGGGGGAGGACACCCCCAACACACCCCTCCATTCCCCACCCCCGCCCAGCAATCTCTTTGGTGGATCCCAAACCTGATGGCTTTGGAACCCCTGCATGCGATAACATGCGGATCCCCCAGCTCTGCCCTCTTCTGGCCCTGCCAGCCCTGGTCTCTGGGTCTGTCTCCACACTCCAGGTGATTGTCACTCGGCCTCCCACTGAACTTCCCCAAGGGCAGGGCATTCCACTTTGGGTTTTCCATTGTTGTTCACAAGCTCTTCTTTCCAGGGAACAGAGTTTCGCTTTTCATCTCCTTCATTTTACAGATGTGGAAACTGAGGCAGGTTGGGCTTGTTCTAGGTGACCGTAAGAATTGGTGGCAGACTGGCATCCCAGACCCCAGCCAGCTGCTTCCCACCTCCCACCAGGGCCTCAGCCTCTAAGGGCAAGCAACACAGGGCTGGAGGCAGAGTGACAGCATGGACCTGGGGGGGGGGGAGGCGATGGCTTCCCATTTTGCAGGTCCAAACGGGGTGACCTTAGGACTTAAGAAGTATCCCTGGGCCTCAGTTTCTCCATCTGCAAATCGGAGATGCTGCTCATTGGATGGTGGTAAAGATTTCATAATTACCCCAGTTTTAAGGAGCTCTCTGCACAGGGCCTGGCACGTAGTAGGCGCTCAATAAATCCTCACTTGTTTTCTGTGATTATTCGACCTCTGGAACCCTGGACTCGGCGTGGACTCCCGCTCCCCCCCCCCCCCCCCCCCCCGCGCAGAAGCCGCCCCGTGTGGGACAGGATGTGGTGGGCGCACAGCGGGGCGGAGGCAGGGGCCACGGGGCAGAGGAGAGGGCGGCGGGAAGACGGGAGAGAAAATCCCAAAGGTCCGGAAGGCCGGGAGAAAGGCAGGGCACGGGCTGCAAACCGCGGCTATTTGCAGCGCTGCCTTCGGGCTGCGGTCTCGGGGCTGGCGCTCGCTGCCCCGGCCTCCCGGCCCGCCGCCCCGCCGCCCCGCCCGGTGCCCTCGGCCACCCGGGCACGGCCCCGTCCTCGCGGCCCTGGCGGCGGGAGGGCTGGGGCGCGGAGCCGGGCGCGACCCCGGAGGGCTGCGTGGAGGCGGGTGCGGAGCCGGGCGCGCTGGGCCGGGGCGGGCGCCGGGGGCCGTGTGGCCCGCGGGGCGGGTCGCGGCCGCGGCGAGGCTCCCGGGGCGCCGGGTGGGCGCGCAGGATTGCTAAAGGCTGCGGTTTGGCGAAGACCGCGGGAGCCGAGAAGAGAAAGGGCGCGGGAGGGAGGGAGTTTTTTTTAAAGCTGAGGGCGAACAGCGAGGAGGGAAACACGAGAACACGAGAGGAGGGCGGGCGGCGGGCAGGAAGCTGATGTTTCCCGAGCGCCCACTCGGTCCCCGGCAGGAGGGAGGATGGGGCTCCGCGAGGCCGAGCGCCCTGGCTAAGGCCGCCCCGCGGCGGAGTGGCAGGGCCGGGATTCGAACTCGGTGGGCCTGTGGCCGCGCGCTCTCCCACCTGGGCTGAGATGCCGGCCGGGCGGGGCCGGGAAGGGGAGGCCGCGGGGAGGGGGCTCCGGGCAGGGGTCGCGGCCGCCCCGTGGGGACACTTGTGGGGAGGGGGTGGAACCCGCGGGGGGGGTCCACCGCCCCGGATGACGCCGCAGGGACTCTGCTTCGGGCTTTCCCGCGCCCCTTCAGCGCCCCCATGTGGAAGCTTCTCCTGAAGCCGGGTCTCCCCTCCTAGGTCGGAGTTGGCGGATCCAGGCCGGGCAACAGCTGGGTCCTGGTCCCCACGGCCTGTCCTGTGGATAGAGGGACAGGAGATAAAGGAGGGGCTGGGCTGCCAGAGGGGGCGAGGCTCCTCGGGCCGGCAGCCTGGTCCTTCTAAGGGAGGGCAGGGGAGGAAAGTACCCCGGAGTGCGGGATCTGCGCAACCTCTGAAAAAGGCAACTCCCCCACGTCTTTGAGGTTACGCTCCTGCATTCAGTCATTGACTCCGGACTTACCGAGCACTCTGCAACATGGGAGTTGCCCCAGAGCAGAGATGAAAGAACCAGACAAGCATTTATAACAATTTTAACTCAGTGTGGCAAGTGCCATGAAAGGGGCATTTGGGGAGAAACCAAGAATCCTGGACCCCCTGTACTCACACTGATGGTGCAGGCACATTTCAGACACTTGTCCTAGACAGGACACTTTGGGTTTAGGAACGTGGGTCTCTACACCCAGAGCGCACATGAAGCCAACTGAGCAGTTGCCCTCTGTGCACAGAGGTTGTGTGGGCAGATACCTCTCCCCAGAGTCACAGCAGACATTTGGGCCTCAGCCTGCCTTGTTTTTGACATCGAGACCTTAGTTATGCCCGGAATATCTATGGAAGGGCCTGAAGTTATTGCTCAGTTTCAGAAAGAAATTCTCAGAGTCCTGAAAACGATTCAGAACAATCCCTGACCTCACCCTTATGGTCAGACACCTCCCCCACCATGGAAGGCACATAGTGGCCCTGGGGGCCCCTTTCTCTGTAGGTCCCTGACACACATCCACATCTTTTTTTTTTTTTTTTTTTTTCCAGTTAGGCTCCGAAAGGAAAGAGAAATACATGGTGGGGAGTATTTGTCCCCAAGAAAGATCCAAGTTAAGAGTAGAAGCAAAGCATAACATAGTGGCTAAGAATGAGACTCTGGGGGGCACCTGGGGGGCTCAGTTGGTTAAGTATCTGCTTTCAGCTCAGGTCATGATCCTGGGGTCCCAGGATTGAGCCCCACATCTCAGGCTCCCTGCTCAGCAGGGAGTCTGCTTCTCCTTCTGCTCCTCACCCTGCTTCCCTCATCCCGCTCCTGCTCGGGTGCGTGCTCTCTCTTTCTCTGAGATAAATAAATAAATAAAATCTTAAAAAAAAATAAAGAATGAGACTCTGGGTTCAAATTCTGACCCCGCCACTTACCATCTGTGTAATGTCAGGCGTCAGGCACGTTACTTAACCTTTCTGGACTTCACTTCCCTTATCCCTAAGGTGGAGATCATAATATATTCACTTCAAAAGGTTGCTAAGATGTTTAAATGA